AAAGTTCAGTGGCAACTACATATGTACATATATGCCATATGTAGTATGAGGCGCGCAACTTAATTCCCGCTATTTGTCAATAGATGGCTTCAATAATTAGTCGTGATCGATTTTGATATATTCTAAACGTCATAAACTTTTCCTACTAGAGTAGTTATTTGAAAAAGTAACTGCTCTCCCACTAATGTGGTTGTTTCTGTGTCAAATACTTTTGGTTGTGCGAATTTTTGTCCAATTTTTTGCCAAACAATCAACATTTGCGGTGTTGTTTTTTCCTTTCAGTCAAACAAATGGGCTGCTGAAACACACCGTTAACTGCAAAAAATTTWCAAACCAAAAAATCTTCAAAGACGATTAATTGACAATGTTGCTCTATGATGAGTCATGTCAAATGTAAAAAAAAGTTTACTATAGTATTGGAAGTCACACGCTAGGCCATTTAAAARKGACTGCATGTACTGGGAATRATTCAGAAACAGAAAACTGTTTTTCATTATACCTCAATATCAGGACAACGCTCGGCCTAACATTGCCAAACTCGTTCAAAGCTACCTGSAAACGTTTAAATAGCCCTACCCCATTCTCTTTATTCCCCAGATATTGCACCGTMYGATCATTAATWATTYCGWTCGATGGCATATTGTCTGACTCAGAAGCAGTTGCACTCACGAGACAACATCGAAAAATAGCTTTATTTTTGGGGAGCATCACAATATGAACAGTTTCATTGTAATGGTATTCGACCTTTGCCAGAAAGATGAGAAAAATTGTGGCCAGCAATGGGCAATACTTCGAATAATTCATTTGCAACGATTTTCTTACAGTCAATTTTCGTTTTCATTAAAAAAAAACAGTGAGAACTTAGTTGCGCATCTAATAATATAAGGGCTCTCGTTCATGATATGCAGATAGACATACGGGCCCCGTTTAAGAGATTCAGCTTGACACAATGATATTATATATTCTATAGATCTTTAACGCTTTCTTCTGACGTTTACAAACTTCTTGGCATGAGAACGCTCAAAAATGGAATTGAACATTATGAAAATTACATAATTCGGGCGGAAACCTTATTCTTAGTTGCTTTTCGCGCATCACGTTTACTTTGGTGTAAAAGTCAACCCAACAACACTTTAACTTTTGGATTAACTCATTAAAACACCGTAATACATGCATACAAACATTTATACATACATATGTACATGGGTACATGGGCAGTAKAAACTCCCTGGTTTGGGCGAAAACTTCATTTAAATTCAAATTCCCATACAAAGTGAAGTCAACGAAGCGGAAGTTCACAGCACAGCGCAAAGCAGCCTACCTAACTAACTAACCAAGCAAACGAGTAACCAGCCAACCAAGCAGTCATCCAACTAGTCAGCAGTTACTCAAAGCCAACAACAAAGCTGTGTTTAAACGCYAGCAAAGCTTTGTAGCACCAAGCAAGCAGAATGTAAGCGACAGGCGAATGACACTGCAGAGGAATCAACTGCTGGCGCTTCGTAAGCTGAAGTGCCTCTTCTTATGAGAGCGTCGTTTAAAGAGTTTTACTTCTCAATGGTGTAAATAGAATTGATGTACAAATTTTTAAATCGATTATTTCTCTGATTTACATATGYATATACAATCGATATTACTTATTTGTCATTAATAATTAATTCATTCATTTTATGCTGATAAAGTAAAGAAAAACGGAAGCGGAAGCGGAAGCGCTGTCATTAAAAACAAAAATAATAATAATAAAAAAATATAAAGCATTTTTTTTTTTTTTGTTCTTTCTTTCTTACTCTATTGTGGGATTCTTAATTTTTGAAATTGTTTTAAGTTTATTTTACGATAAAACTTTAGTAAAACATGAACAGCGTATATTAAGTTTGCCGCGWCCCTATAGAGTATACATACATATAAATGATCAGAGCGATGAGCTGAGTCGATTTCGCCTGCCCGTCTTTATATTTTTCGGGAATCTAGTCCCCGAGATATCATTTTGATATTTTGCACACTTTTTCCTCATCCCCAAAGGCTCCTTATTTTTTGGAACCTCATTCATTATCATTGTATGACTTTTTTATTTGACAAAATATCTTCACGAAATTTGCAWGGTATATAAAATAACCGATTAAAATCAGTATACAGATTTTTTATACCCTTTCAGTAATTATTTAGCATTAATTTACTTTWAAATATATATTTTCTTTAATTTCTGACTGTAGATTAATAAAATAATATGAATTAGTTATTATTTAAAAT